AAACAAATTGGAAATTTGTCTTTGAATAGGAAGCAGATGTGCTATGCATATTCTTGCTTAATTTAGATTTTAAAGCAAGCAAGAAAAACGTATCGCTTTAGTGTTAAATGCTGATTTGGGTCTAGGAGATTGTGTAGAGGCTACTAAAGTGAAACTCAATTTTTGATCGGAAGCTCCTTGGTGCTTAGGATTTTGTAAGTTGTATTAATGCCAGGAAATAAGTTTTATCTCCTCTCTTCTTTAGGTAAGCTTCTGTTCTAACGTAGAATCATTTCTTAATTTAGATTAAGGGACAGGGAGAGGGGGGTTCATTCTCTGAGGTCAGTTTCTAGCCAAACCTAGCCTTTGAACTTATGGTTATTTCTGACTTGCTATATGAGAAAATGTTTGTTAGCTATAAAACAGTGTATTCATATTAATGGTTACATCTTTAAACCAAATTGGATTTTATAAAAAATATTTTGCCTCGTTATATTTAGTATAAGTGTTTCACACACCAAAAAAATCCTGAATAGTGGTTGTTAGATAATGGTTTTGCACTTTTATGTTATGAAGTGATTTTCATAAAGAATTCTTCACAAAAATCATTAAAGGTTTTTTTCATTGATGAGAAGACTGAGTGAAGAAGAAACTCAGAGCCTCTGCATGTCTGGTCGGCGCCAGAGGTTTCTTCCGTCCTTTGTGTTTGTTAGCCCTGCCTTACTGCTGCAGCCACGGATTTCTGTTTTCCAGAGACATCCCAATGCCGTTAGTCACCTCCGGAGTAGAGCACGGGAATTTGAGGGAACTGGCATTTGCAAGAATGAAAGACCTTGGAATACAGGTAAGAATAAATATGGCTGTTTGAATTTAACTGTTCAGATTTAAGTAATTTAATCACAAAAAGTTAGGGCTAACACACATACAAACCAGTCTTACAAACAGGTTAGAAAAGCTTGTTTGAGGCATTCTATATTTAAGGCGTTCCTCCTGTACAGTGTGTCAGAATTAGGGCTGGAGTCTTCAAAAGTTGCACCCTAATGGCTCATTGACCCCTACCGCCTTATTGTGCCAAAGAGATGTGTAGATTTGCCCACATAACGTCTCTTTTATTACCAAGTCACATTGCCAACTTTGTATTTAACTCCTTTTTCTTATTTTTAGCATTTTCTCTCTTGAAGTATTATGTGTTCAATTTTTGACTCACTCCTTGCCATCCAGTCATCGCAAACCCTGTACAGCAGAGTAGAACTGCCCCTGTGAGTTTCTGAAATTGTTACAGGATTAGAAAGCCCCACCTTTTCCTGAGGAGCTGCTAGTGGTTTCAAACTGCCCACCTTGAGGCTCACAGTCTAACATGTAACCACTAGCCACCAGGGTTCCTCTTTGTGGCTTCCAGCAATATTCAAAGAGCCATCAGGGACTGTGGTTTGGATTGTGTAATAAATGCTTCTGCAGTCCTTCTTACTTTCCTTCCTTCCACAGCATTCTTCCCTGCAAACAATGGCACATTTGATGGCTCT